GCAAAAGCGACCATACGAGGAACTCATACAAGAAGCAAGAAAGCGTCATTCAAACGGACACATCAACTGGATTGGAGAAGGCGCCCAATCAAAGCACCAAATCAACCGGCGGACGCAGGGACATTAACCGCCACGGTGGAGGAAATAGGGCGGTACAAGCAACCAACCAAACTCGAGAACGGCAGACCACAACGCAATGCGAATCAAGGCCAGAGAGAACAAGCTACTAAAATTAGAATCCGTTGGGATAACCAATCAACACAAAGGAACACAGACCACAACGCAACAAGGATCACAAACGGACCAATAGATTCACTAGACTCGTTAAACTTCAGGTAGCCAATCACGTCAGATAACAGATGGCCTTTGACTGCTATATAAACACACGCAGGCAAGGAAGAAGTACCCACCCAACTGCGCACTGATGATGTCTCCTCGTATGGTGACGAAACGTTTGCAAGCCAATTGCCAAGCTCGGCGAACAGATCACATCTGATCTGATCAACAACCAATAGCACTGTCCTATCCACTTTTACTTTTTTCCTGACCTCACTTTGCCTTGGTACCTTCTGGCGATGAATTTTAAATCAACAGCCATCTGATCAACAACCAATAGCACTGTCCTATCCACTTTTACTTTTTTCCTGACCTCACTTTGCCTTGGTACCTTCTGGCGACATGGTGAATTTTAATATCAACGCCATGATACCGATTCGGTTTCTCAGGATTGATTGTTGCAACGTTTTTTCCAACTTCTAGCTCCCCCGGATCGATCGCTTTCCTAATTTCTAACCCTGAGCAAGTGGCCAGGAGGGGATGTATATCCTGCTTCTTGCATTCGTCTGTTTTGTTATCCCAACTGGTGAGTATCGTGTCTGACCTTTACCCGAATCTCTCTAGGCACTTCTGAAATATGCGATTTGACTGACGACCTCACCACTTGTTATAAGAAATTCTTGTCTTTCGAAGGCATCGGGAACATACACAAGCAGATTGATGGTGACAATAATGGACATGTGGACTCGTCTGAGGCAGCTAGCGTAAGTTTAAGTGTTTATTTACGAGGTCGAATGTTGAGTTAGCCCATGATTATTTCCCGATCACATTTACCGAGTGTTTTGAATGTTAGATAAAACACATCGTTCCTGGCGAAGTGTGCTTATCCTCGGTCTCCTGGGTGGTTGAGTGCCGTGGAACCGTTTCTGATCAGTGCTACGCGATTGAACTGTTGATACTTTCTATCTGAGTCTCATTCCATTCGTTAGCCGTCGGTATTTTGTACCATTTCTCCCGTATCCATACGTACATGGCCACAAATTCAAAGGTTTCGTTCGAAAACTGGCAGTTATTTCATGAGTTATTTCGAGGGAAGTATGGGTTCTTCAGGTTTCAAAATGCCAGCCCTAACTTTCACCTGAGATCCCACGGTTCGATAGCACGTCAGTGCTTTCTTCTTCTTTGAATCGCAGGACGTTTTAAGAGTTCTGTGGCCAGATGGTTCGATTTCTTTTATTCCTTGTTCAAGACAGTCGCAACGACACTATCTTGTCACCAACCTAGGTATTTCTAACATGAAACATTAAAGCGAAGGCTTTCGAAGAACACTACATTGATGTAATTTTTTTCAGTGTTAGGAGCCTCATTGTACTGCTAAACCGATCTCTGCTAAACAGCTGTCCTTCTTCCTTCATAGCTGTGGGTTTGTGAACCTTGTCTAATTTGTTTCGTTATTTACTCTTTATAGTTCTTTTATAGCTTGTGGTATGAAACGATTCCGTACCTACCAAATCGACTCCCATCGATATAGGGTACGGCCAGCCGTTGACTATTATGAAATAACCAGGTTATTTTGACCTTTCTCGATTAGTAGTTGGGTCATCTACTCAGCCAGGGACTCATCAAAATAACAGTTTAACTCACTGATCGGTGGGTGCATGATCACTGTGACAACCAATCCCCTTATCTCGAACTGCCCAACATTGGTAAAGTCTTCCTGTGATGACACTTTCAAAGCCGTTCACATGTCTCTCGAGTAATAGCCCCATCACACCCGTGGGTGGTTGTTGAATACTTATCCATGCCATTTTCATTTGAGTAGTCCATTCCTTAAACTTGGGCGTGGTTTAGTCCACGCCGTGAGA